GGTTACATCTCGGTGTGGAGGCGGAGCGTGCGCCATGGCGGCCTGGTTACATCTCAGTGTGGAGGCAGAGTGGGATGTCGGTCTCCATGTGGATGCTAGGTGAGATGCTGCTGTGCCCTCTGTGCTGTTCTGGTGGGTTGGTGACAAAGGGGCCTTACACCAACACCATGCTGGCACTGCTCCCTGCTCATTCTGTGCTTTCACTGAGCAGATCGCTCCCGTCAGGCCAGGCCTCCAGACTGACAGCCAAGCACAGGTCTGGACACACACACTAACCTGTGTGATTGTCACATGATGATCCACCAGCTATACAGTAACTGTACCTAATCTGTACTACTGATTTCATGTTTAAATTTAATGCTGAGCGTATCATTCTTTGTGTAGTATCAAGTATAATATTCAAATTCTGTAGTTGCAATTAATTTTAATCACACATGTACGGATCCCAGCTCTTTCTACAAATAAAAAAATGTTTCAATTATTATGATGAATTTGTGTAAAGTTCATGACGTTAATGTAAACAAAAATATTTCCATTTTTTTCTGTCATTTCTATAGTAATGTACAGAAGCCACCTTTGGTCTGTGGTTAATGTGAAAAACATATCCTGGTTACTGTATGCCACCAACAACAAAGCTGCAAGGGGGGGAAAAAAAATATGCTTCACTTGTTGCCACGGGGAGATTTTTAGATTTCACTTATGAGCCAATATGAAAAGCTGTCCTTTGTAGCTGCTAAAGAGCGGAGCACCACAGGTAGGATGTTACAATGCCGCCGGATTCACATTCAATGCGCTCAGTCTTCAAAACAGCCGGCAAGGCCAGATCGCCGGTGGGCCTGCTTTTTATCAAGATGTCAGCTTTATCTGCTACTTCATCCCATTCATTTAAACCTAAAGGCACGCCTGGCTTTTGTATTGATTTTAACCCAACAATTAAGGCGGCCTCTGATTTATCATAACACTTTAGATCTTAATCATATGCTGCTCCCAGCGTGGTGCCTTTGTTTGCGTTTTAATTAAGGGGACCTTGGGCTCCTCCAACCCCGAGCTTCTTTTTAATTGCCGGTATTTACGTGGGGCCGACATCAAACGCGGAGAGAGGCGTTTGTGCAGGGGGAGCACAAAGGGGCCCTTTGAAGCGGCTAGCGTCACATGTAACAGCGTGCTAATTAAAATCCTCATCGCGGCTCACTGTGATATGAAAAGTATTTATACGTACGACTTCCTGGGGAATCGGTATAGGGAGACCAGTGAATCCCGATCATTTATGGACCTACCTGGCTCAGCGTCCTCGCCGCGGCGTATCGCGGGAGCTGACGCCCTGCGATTGAAAGACCCCTTTCACGTGAGCTTGTGGCGAGACAGTGGATACCCTCGGGCCGTTTTGAGAGCCACGACAGCCTAAATTTATGTTAAGTACATTAAATTCATTACCCAAGTCCTGGCAATAATAAATAATATTGTTATACCATCCATCTGTCCACAACTGCTTTTCCATACAGGGTGACTCTCATATTAATATCCAAAATATAATTTTAGATCATGGAAAAACATCATACAAAGAGAGATTCCATTCACCGTAATACTTAAAGGTGTATTTCAGATCAACCACAACTGCATTAATTAGCAGTATGCTATCTAAGGCAGTTTGCTGTCATGTAAATAATCTGTAAATAGCTTCTTAAGTAACAATTAATTAACTTATATATCTAAGGATCTGTGAAATGCACTTATATAAATATAAATGTGACAGTGGTATATGGCTCCTTCTTCTCCCAGGTTTCTCCTACCCGGCTTGGCCTCGGGTTTGCCCCGCAGCCCAGGTCAGAGAGGGCGGGGCTTATGGGTCATGGGCCCCCCTCCCTGCTAGTGATACAGATCAGTCCTCAAGGAGACCCCCGTTGCGCTCTGATAGACACAGACCATAAGGGGGGTTGTGGCTCCGTGGGTTAGGACTCCGTAGCCATGCTCAGAAGGTCGTTGGTTTCAAATCCCATGTTCAGCAGAATGATTTCACCATTGGGCCCTTATGCAATTGCTCTAATGACTCCAGCCTTTTCATTTGTGCCATCGTATTGAATAAAAGCACACTGGACAAATCCACGTTTTTGTTTTATCCCAGTTCCCAGAACACCTGACCCAAGCAATCAGGAGCTTTAAATACCTTACAGGTGTGCTGGGAACTGGATAAAACAAAAACGTGGATCCATCCAATGTGCCCTGAGGACTGGTTTGGGAAACACCATGCTAAATAAGTAACATGAAAAATGAGCAGAAGCTTTAAAGAGCAGATTAATCTGCCACACAGTGGTCTCTCAGACTGCGTCACGCAAGCTGACCTTTGACATCTCCTAGGAGCTCAGTCGTATTGAATCTTTCCATTTTTTCCTTCCAGTCTTTTGAGAGTAGCTTCTCCATGCAAGAGGACTCTGTGAGAAAAAAGAGAGATAAACAGAAGAAGGCAACATGGTAAGTACACTGACGTCCTTTACCACATTTTTAATGCCACTCATCACTGCCAACAACAGACACTGCCAACTGCACTGCAGATAAAACTGATTTTGTGCAGAACCACATCGCAAACTGAATTGAAAAAGTTTTTCGGAAATCTCAATACAGTTTGATTTTTAGCATGAAATGGACTGTTGGTTTTGTTCCTAAAATCAGCGTGAGGGTCTGGATGTGACAGATTTTCGGCTGATTACTGAAAGCTCAAACTCACGACCAAAAGGCCTGTTGCCTGTTGTTTGAGACACGTCCGCTCAGGTAATGAAACCTGTGCTGCCTTTACCACATTTTGCTAATGGTGACAAAGTAAGACGATCCCTTAACAAACCAGGACGATTTCTTATCCTGACTTGCATGCAGAGGGAGCCCCTTTAAGAAGAGCCAGGCTAACATGCAGACAATGCCATTTATTTTCCCTCTTCCTGTTTCCCTGACAAGGGGTCAAATAATCAAACTCTATTTTCCAAGCCACGAAGAATGATTTGTTTCCCCAGAAGGTCATTGTAAGCATGTAAATAATAATTAATTAAACAACTCCCCCCCCCATCCCCCCAAATGCAGGACAGAGAGCCGAGAGGAGAACCACAGTATGGCAGCAGCAGATGAGCGGGGGTGGGTGGGAAGGGGGGCAGTCCGTGTGCAGCAAGGGGGCTTTGGCAGCGATGGGAGTACACTTAACATTAGTGTAGCACACAATGAATCAGGGCAGGAATGGCTGGAATCCGCCATGCTGTCGCGGGGCTTACTGATGGAGAACACACTGCTCCGAGCCCCCCCACACATACAGCCACTTGAAGGTCAGCCTGTTCCCATCGAGAGCCCCCCCGCCCCCCAAACAGCCATCCTGGACAGTGTATGACCCCCACCTCAGAGGGTCTGAGGTGACCTGGATGACAGCTGCCCTGTTAGTCTTCACGTTTCGGCGCACTCAGTGAACGGCGGCCTGCTCCGGTGCCGTTCCAGAAAGTTATTTGCGNACAGCCATCCTGGACAGTGTATGACCCCCACCTCAGACGGCGTCACGTGACCTGGATGACAGCTGCCCTGTTAGTCTTCACGTTTCGGCGCACTCAGTGAACGGCGGCCTGCTCCGGTGCCGTTCCAGAAAGTTATTTGCGCCACACAAGTCCTTCAGTGCCGCTAAAACACGCCCTGGCTGACAAATGCCTCACTTTCAGGAATTCACGGCCTGTATTGTGAGCTCTGTAACAATATAGCCATTTATTAAAATGACTGCGGCCGACCTTGTCTTGTGAAAATTAAGTCAAATTTGTTAAGAAAAAGACGAACTGTAGTCATCCCTGTCCTTAACAAAAGGCCCTCAGGCAGTATGGGTAAATGGTTAAATCGCTCTCCAGAGTGAGTCATTTAAGACCACTCTGCTAACAAAAGAGTTCTCAAATTCATATTCACTTAAGTACTGGACACGGCTGAAAGCTTTACACGCATACATCATAACAGACATGGTGCATTAACAGCCATTCAAAGCGTTTAAGACACACTACATGAGTACTTAGCTTGCAGAAGAGCACCATATCAAACGTGTTACTCAAAATAAATTTTATGTAAATAAATAACTTTAAATAAACTTTAAATAAAATCAGGGATTGAGTCTGTGCGCATCCTTAAAAATGGCCCAGGGTCCCCAGATCTGGGCCACAGCATATAATGTGCATGTAACCTAAATAAGCCAGTGACTGGACTTCCTGCACCGGGGTGAAGACACACTGTACACACTGGAGCGAGGTCAGTGTAAAACGGAATTAGCAGCAAGATTTACTGCATTCACTCAAGGAGGGAAAGGCGATCCGTTACTCTCTACTTTGTTTTACCGGGAGTATTATTTCCCAAGACTGATAAACAAAACTGACAGGGAGGGGGTGGGGGGGGGGGCAAAGTCAGGGACGAGGCAGAGTGTCCCGGTGCATCTCACCCCACGAGCCAGCCGCCATCCCAGTGGAAACTCCCGCTTTGAAGATTTAAGTACCCTTTGGAATATCTACAGAAAAAAAAATGTTTCTTTAAACTTGACCTCTACATCCACACCTTGCTGTCCAACAAAACAAATTCCGCACCTGAAAAATGGTGATCGGTCTCCGAAACGCGGCACGGGGGAGTATCACTGCTCCCAGGAATGTCTTATGAAAACATCAGGGAGGGCTGGCATTTTGTTTCTGCTCAGCTTCCTCCGTCGGGCTGATGAGGTTTCTCCCATTTGGGTTGCTGTAACATTATTTCTGCTTTTATTGCCTTTCTGACACAAAAACATGCAGTTTTTCCCCCATAACCCTGGAAGAGCAGTAACTGTGCATCGAGTCCCCGCAACTTTCACGGAGATGACGGCCACGTCCCTGGTGACAGTCCACCACTGAGACACCACACGTTACACAGATGTCCTTGCATCAGGATGGCCATTGAACTGTGTATCATCACGACCAATGAGGAAAACGGGTCTCCTTTTATGGTGAGATGCCCCCAACGATGGATGCTGGGAGCGCACACTGCGGTCCACTGGGGGGGGCACAGCCATGGATGCTGGGAGCGCACACTGCGGTCCGCTGGGGGGGGCACAGCCATGGATGCTGGGAGCGCACACTGCGGTCCACTGGGGGGGGCACAGCCATGGATGCTGGGAGCGCACACTGCGGTCCGCTGGGGGGCACAGCCATGGATGCTGGGAGCGCGCACTGCGGTCCGCTGGGGGGCACAGCCATGGATGCTGGGAGCGCACACTGCGGTCCGCTGGGGGGCACAGCCATGGATGCTGGGAGCGCACACTGCGGTCCGCTGGGGGGGGCACAGCCATGGATGCTGGGAGCGCACACTGCGGTCCTCTGGGGGGCACAGCCATGGATGCTGGGAGCGCACACTGCGGTCCGCTGGGGGGCACAGCCATGGATGCTGAGAGCGCGCACTGCGGTCCGCTGGGGGGGGGGGCACAGCCATGGATGCCGCTCCCACCGCTGATTATTAAGGAATGTGCCAGCTGTTGGAGATAATGAGGTGCCACCCCCCCTCCCCCCATGCTGGGTGGGGCATCTCTGCTCCCACACCTCCCTCCTCCCTTGCTCCTTCTCTCCATCACTGATAGAATTCCTCCACATCATCGCTCTGACCCCAGGGCGTATCAATGGGAGCATGGCTGGAATGTGAGGAGGAACGCGGGCAGGTCTGTCTGGGCAGGACCTCCGTGTATAAGCGTGTGTGTGTGTTTGTGGGGGGGGGGAGCTGCAGCCTTCACTTGATGTGCCAGGCTACATTTAGTGGGCACCTCTTAACATCATTTTGGTAACACTTTACTTGAGGGGACACAAATACTTTGTAGCAACTCAGTTACTACTGAAGAACAAATGTAGTCACTACTTAAGGTGGAAGATGCGTCAGGATTCATTAATGATGAACAAACATGAGATCAGTATTTCACTTATGTTATTCATTACTTGTTCCTTCAATAGTTCCTTAGTAGTTCCTTCAGTAGCTCACAAGGATTTATGAAATTGACAGATGACACACAAAGTAACTGCTTGGGATAAATGATGTGTGTCACACTTCATTAATGATGAACAAACGTAAGATTAGCATTTTACATGTGTTATTCATTATTTGGTCCTACATTACTTCCTTCAGCGGTTCACAAAGGTTTGAAGAATTAATAGATAAAGCAACAAATATAGTACTTGCTTGAGATAAAAGATGATTGTCAATTAATTAATGATGAACAAACATGACATGCCTTTGTAACTAAGACGTAGTTTGTGGTTAATTAATACATAAGTAATAGCATAATACTACATTTTTGTGTCCCCTCAAGTAAAGTGTTACCATCATTTCCCACATCTCACTTACAGCTCAGTCATTAAGAGAAAATTGCAGTTACATACTGAAGATCTGTCGTAACACTGTCCAACACAGCATTCTCTGGTCCACAAAGTAAACGCAGTCTAGCCAAGACTTCCAAGACTCAGACATTAATAATTTTAAATAGTATTATAAAAATGTTTGCAATTTAAAAGTCTGGGCAATAAGAGAAAGTGAATTTTCTTTATGTTTGTGACCCCCAGCTTTCTGCAGCAAACCAGATGTATGAGGATCCTATTGAATTTACGGCCGGATGTGACTGAGAGCGGCGGTCGTCTCAGTTCCTTTCCCAGAGATAAAGCAGGGGCTTTATCGTGTAACCTCACATTCACGCTGGAAAAGAATGGAATGAAAACACTGGCCTGTGTCTGCCTCTTATTTACATTTTCCCAAGGCCCTTGCCATGGAGAGAGTGAGCGGGTGGGCGGGCGGGCGAGCTGGGTCTCCGGGAGAGGAGTCGTGGAAGGAGCCCAGCAGCCCCAGAGCCGGCCCAGAATGCGCAGCCCCAGAGATCCTTGGAACGCCAGGATCTGGACCCACTTTGGCAGAGTGCCCATCCAGCAGAACCCAATTTAAAGGTGTGGGGAGCATCCGTCTGCAGGAAGTGGCGAGAGATGCCGAAAGAGCAGCGCCAAAAATCAAACAGATGCATCATTTCCAAAAACGAAGGAGGCCACTTTCCACAGCATGCCTTAATGGAGGGACAGGTCACATGACGCGCCAGTGCTCCCGTGGTATCAGATCTCAAGATCAAGGGGAAACCTGCGGCCAGTGTGGCTCAGGATATACAAACAGAATCCTGAGACAGTCACGTTTCTGCCACAAACTGTTTATCTAACCTGGCTGAGCTTAAGCCAAAACCAAATGCTCATCAGAAACCACAATAACTTAAAACATGGAAAAATACTGACAGCCGTATCTGATACCATGCACCTCCATCGAAGATAAAACTATTTTAGCTCAGGTTGGGAAATTTTAATACCGCAACATTGCGGAAGGTGGTAGCGTGTAAATCAAATGTCAGTGTGGACACATTTGTGTTGACAGGAGTTTGATAAAATAC